TGTCAGAAATTTTTTGTTATGTCAGAAATGCAAAAAATATTGGGGGTCACTGACTTCGTTTCAGAGATATTAAAGCACGTGGAAAGCTACCCTGATTTTGAAAAATTAGTGCACATAATTCACCATGGTCTACAGCTAAAAATAACAAAGGAGAATCAACTGAGGCAAACGATCTTAAGTAGTCATATTTTGTAGAAGTGGGTCTGTTGCGTAAACAATTCCAAATGTTACCAACGTTTTCAAAAAACTTAACCCTTTGAAACCGTTGCACAGATAAATGAAGAGCTAAAAAGAACGGAATTTGATGGTGCATTTTGCAAAAAATTCAAACTTCTAGTCAATAGATTTTCTTCATTTTTTCACTATTAAACGTACAAAATCGGTAGAGAAAATGATCCATCAAAATAAAAGTAGGGGTAACCGTTACATCCAGGCAAAGCCATAGCAATGGCCATGCGACCTATCATTGTTCATTTTATTACTTAGCGCATTCTCATGCATGACGTGGCGTTTGAATTTGCGTGCACAGTAAGGATGCGCAGAAACAATTAGTGCCAACGTCCTTAAACCAACATTTTGCTCCCTTAGCAAAAACAATGGTAGGACAAATTTACCTTCAATTTGTCAAACCTCTTGATGTTTTTTAAAAACCAATTTCCATTCTCCTGGGGGGTTTGAAAAATTAGGTTTCCACTGTATTTCAACTAGCAAAATGGTAAAGATGAGAGGCATAGTTGAACACAGACCATAGATGTTTCCTGTATGAAACAAATAAGTCAAATTTATGGCAACTTGTAAATGGGCGCATAGACTTGTGACTATGCAATTTTTGAAATTATTATTTGAAGCAGGGTGATATTATTTTGTTACAGCCTTTATTGGCATTTATACTGTACATACACAAATTCAAAATTAGTATGTTTTCAATATCATTAACAAGGTTGTATTTGTACAAAACTGTACTAAACTTGGAGCATCTGAATTCTTCTTGATTTGCCTTTTAACCTGAGCTAATCTTAACATTGAGCTTAACAGTGCTTGATAACCTACTAATGCAAGAAGAATTCTGGAGTTCCAGGTCATATTTTTTTTCTTTTTACCAGATATGGAAATTACTCGGTCTTTACTGGCAGCAAAGTAAAGAAAGCTAATTAAAACATTATTTTTCAGTTATTAAAGTGCAGGGAGTAAAAATAGAATTCTTGGACAAAACAATATCACTTTGCAAAAAATTGTCTTTTGTTAATATTTTATGTACTGTAAAACTAGACATCTCATTGATTTGATAGTATACCCATCAACAAATAAAACAAAACAATTAATTATTTTTTTAGAAAGGCATATGAGTGGTAAAATTAGAGCTGACATCTGTATTTAGACAACTATAAGGAACTAATTAAAGCTAGGATTATGGCAGAATTGCAAAATGTAGTCTGAACATTCTTTGTCTTTGTTTTGCTGGGAATTTGTGACTGCATACAGCCTAGCCCTGATTCGAAGTGGAGGGAGAGGGGGAAGGGGAAAATACAGCCATAGCTTCTGAAATCCACACTTCAGTAGGCACTCACTTCTTTTGCATGATAACGACCACAATTACATGTTGATGACTGTCACTATTTTTAATATAGATAGGACCCAGTGTGAGCACTCTGACTGGTCAAAAACCCATGTTTTATCAGAGTATAAAACATAGAAAAAGCGTGTTTTATTGGCCGTTTTCACACTAGAGATGGATAATCCGTCTAAGACGGGTTATCCATCCAGCACGGATAATCCGTCTTAGTGTGAAAATGGAACGGTGTTCATTTTAAACGAATAATCTGTCTATTTTTATCCGTCCGATTATCCGTCTATTTAGATGGATAATCGGACGGATAAAAATAAACGGATTCTCCGTCTAAAATAAACACCCTTCTGTTTTCACACTAAGACAGATTATCCGTGCTGAGAGGATAACCCGTCTTAGACGGATTATCCATCTCCAGTGTGAAAACGGGCCATACCAAGACGGAAAATGTAGCAGACAGATAATCCGTCTAGACGGATTATCTGTCTAGACGGTTATCCGTCTAGACGGATTATCCGTCTCTAGTGTGAAAACGGCCATTGTTATTTGCCACATTACCTCTATATTATAAAGCCATGTATTACACTGTGATAAAACACCCGGACATTTGAGAACACTCAAGAAATGTAGAAAACCCTCCCCTACGGCTCATGTTTTCTAGTATATCACCTAGAACTAAGTGATATGCTTCTGCCCTGGCTAAATGATGAAGCATTGGTGTCCACCAAAGTATGGCCGAACATTTTTCTTCACGCAAAATGGTTAATGAAATTCTCAAACTATGGGCGATCACATATGTTGGATGAACCCAGTCTTTAGAGAACTACAGATCTAAAGCCTCTAGCCTGAAATAACATGTCAAAGTTTACAGTTTATGCGCTGTTTGGTTTCTTGACAGAAAAGGGTTTCCCCACAAGTTGTCAGCTGAACATTTGAATGGTTTTTCCCTTGTAAAATTTGTCTTGATCAACAATTGCAATATACCAACCTTCTCCTTCAGCGTCATTGCTGTTAAACCTGATACCCTACTGACTAAGGAATATTCCACCAACTGAGAAGGGGTCGCACTTTTCTTCCTTAAAATTTGGAAAACCGCGCAAAAGGAAATGTGTAACGAATCTAGCGAAAGCAATCCCGTAAAATACTAGTGCCAGTCTCCCTCGACCGTGACCACAAGTTCGCGGGTTTTTCGTGATTAGCAGTTTGCATTGCGGGCTAGAACCAATATGGCGGAGGTCGGGCGGCGTGAAGAATCGCCATTTCCACATCCCGCATGATACACCTTGTTTGCCCCCAAAATGTTGCATAACCGTTCTTCCCATTTATTCTGGGTATTACAGTCATCCCAAGAGAAACTGAAGACAATGCTTATACAAAATTTTGGGGTCAAGCAAGGTGGGAGCAACTTCAGAATACCCGGCCACTTTATTTACATGTGCCGGTGTGCTTTGAAGAACGAGGTATATAGCAATAGTTGCTATTCTTATTCAGTGAGATGCTAATAAGTGGCCGGGTATTCTGGAGTTCAGCTTCACAAGGACTGGGAACTACAAAATTCACAAATTCGATTTGCTGAAATCGATATTGAAAGCGGTCTAGATTTTCCCATCTAGGCTGGCATCTAGACCGGCGTCTAGAACTATTACATTTTGCAGCGAAAAAGTTGCGAACTAAAATGCAAAAGTATTGACTAGTTTCTCCTAACAATATTTATTCATGGAAGTGCCAAAAAGCCTGACGAGAAAAAAAGTATAGAGGACGAGTTCATTGCCGTCGGCAAGTAAAATGTCAGCTAGCACAAACCAGTTATTAAACGAATTAATTTTTTCTTGTTTGCCATAAAATAAAAATCTTATTAACCGAGCTTAGCCGGTCTGTATGGGAGAATCTTGACCTTGGTCGTGTATACAGACCTCACTGCATTTGGTCTGTACCAATGACCTCGGTCAAGATTCTCCCATACAGACCGACTAAGCTTGGTTAATAAAAGCTAATCGAATGTGGTTTAGCATTGTCTGTACTCTTATCGACAATGATATGAGTCATCACAGTGATTAAAATTTGTTGTGGACTCACTTGGCTGCGCCTCGTAAGTCCACAACATTTTGACCATTACGATGATACATGTCACTGTCGATAAGGGTAAAGACAACGCTAAACCACATTCGATTTGTTTTTTACCGCAATGTCAATATCAAAGAAAATATTCTTTTTTTCAGAGCGTGACACACTGACGTGTGGAGTGTTGTCTGGTCTCTTATCAACAACGGCATATTAGCCAATCAAATTGCTAGATTAGTAGCGATTGTGGTGAAATATAGTATCCTCCATTCTTTGGTATAGGCCCTTTGCAGTTGGGGTCACGTGACCAAATTTTTCCAAGAAAATTTTCATATTATGGGCTATAACTTAAAGAATGCCAGAAATGGAGAGAGCGCATCGAAAATACCAAAATGGCCAAGTCTGAGGCCCCTGGCATTAAAGAGTAAGTTTATACGACAGCTTGAGTTTTCGGAAAATTTAGAGGATTTGTATGGAAAATGTTGCTGGAGAGCAAGACCTTGCTCTC